CAAATTAAATGGCTCACGTGTACAGATCGAAAGCAGCTTGCTATTCCGGCTAAATTAAAGAACAATATGGCATCACTGAAACTAAATTTGTAAGTCTAATAAAAATTAATAGTGAGCAACACACATACCACATGTACTGTATGTGTGCGTTTTGGCTCTTCTCAAGTTCAAGTTATTGACACATTACTCGATTATGGCATCTGGTAAAAAGCCATATAAGACCAAATCAATCGCGTCAAACGGTAAGAATTGTCAAAATTATAAAAATCCATTCGCCACGTGACACGTCAATCATTAGAGACCAAGTGCGTGCTGTCTCTAATGACAAGCGAGCACGCTTGTCTCGAGTTTTCTCTATTCTGCAAATTTATATCAAAAACACCTTTCCGTCGCGTGACAGTCGCGGGAATGAAAGACGAAAAACGCTCGCGCCGAATGTTCGCGCGTGTGACGTCATCAACAGGTGCACGCGCGCCGATTGGCGGCGACGCCACGTGCTTCCCGTTTCTTCCGGTGGAGTCGGTTGCCGGCGATTGGCAGCTGCACGTCTCGCGTCCAATCACGCGGCTCGACTCGGATCTCGCGCGCTCACGGACGTGACGTCGCGTAAATAGAGATGAGCGACAGGTTACGTAATCGCGATGCGTCAAAGTGGTCGCAGTCGTCACCGCTGCGAGCCCGTACATCTCGCACAAGCCGTGTCGCGCTACAGTGCGTGTCACGCGGCGTACTGCGCGCTTTGGAGGAACGTCAGCGCTGTAAATAGAAGTGCTGAGACCTGCTGAGGTCCGTGCTGGAAACGCTTCGTGAAACGGGAAACGCGCGCCGGCCGTCCTCGCGTTGTAACGGTGTCATTACAGGGCGCGGCGTGTCTCAACGTCTCCTCCATCGGAATCGAAGCTAGGTCGCGAGAATGGCCAACTCCCCGGTGCTTAATCCGGTAAGTCACGCTTTAATGTCATTTTCATTGATCCGCAACGTGACCGCATTGCCAATTTGCTTTTGCGTCTTAGGACTCGCGGATTGTCATGTACCGTTACTCGCTAACCGATCGTTAAATCCTTAGCGCAGGGCTGACGGCAGAGAACGATTCGTAAACGCTTAAGCGCTCGAGCAGAAAGACTGTCGTAAACCGTTTGTGATTCCGTCGTGGGACGCAAGTCAGTGTCGTAAGTAGGACTGTCCCGGGCCTGGTTTCACCAAACGTCGCTCAACTTTAATCTTGGTCTAATTCGTGCGTGCCTCTCTCCAAATTAACAATTGGAAAGAGACAAAGAACGAATTGAGCTAGGCTTAAAGTTAAGCAACGTAGGTGAAACCGGGCCTTAGTTGTCGACAGGGCAAGTCGGGGAAAGTCTATTGTATACGACTCAAGTTTTTCTCTGCCTTGCCTTGTCTACGACTAAGGACCGTTTTCACCAACGTTGCTTAACTTTAAGCCTAGCTCAATTCGTTCTTTGCCTCTTTCCAACTGTTAATTTGGAAAGAGGCACGCACGAATTAGACCAAGATTAAAGTTAAGCGACGTTTGGTGGCAACCAGGCCTAGGACAGTCTTACTTACGCGAGGCAAGTCTATCGTATACGACTTGAGTTTTTCTCTGCCTTGCCCTATGTCTACAGCTTGAGACAGTTTTGAGCATACGGATTGTTCTCTGCCATTAGCCTAACTCTGGTCGTAATAATTATAGATTATATTGAAAATATATATCATTTTACGTTGTCAGAATGCACACATTTGGAATGGCTATTGCGTACGAGTTTCTCACTTAGAAACTGCTATCAAGAGAATTGTACTCCGTTTAGCAACGTCAAATTCGCGAGCCTCCGTTCTATTCTATTTTTAGAAAAGGATGTCCATGTACTTTTCGATTGTTCGCCCTGATCTTCTGACAATTACGCTTTCTAACAGGAAGTCCCGTATGTGGGAAGGATAGAACGAGGCCTGAGGGCGGGTACGATGGTGAAGATACAAGGCAAGGTGCTGCCTCAGGCCGTGCGATTCGCTGTCAATTATCAGCTCGGGCCGACGTTGAATCCGAGAGACGACATAGCCATTCACGTATCGCCGCGCTTCCCCGAGGGCTTCGTCACCAGAAACCACGTAGAGTCGATGTCCTGGGGCATGGAGGAGAATGCCGGCCCGCTGTGGATTCAGCCGGGCCAGGAATTTGAGATGATGATTCTGTGCGACTATCATTGCTACAAGATCGCTATCAACGGCAGGCACTTTGCGGAATTCGCTCATCGATTGCCGTTCATAAAAGTTACTCATCTGGTTATCGATGGCGACGTCGAGATACACTCCATCGCGTATGAACAGGTGCCGGTCGATCGATCGAACTCTGCCACAGCGCCGGCTGACGCACAAACTGCCGACTTTGGACCACCACGTAGGAAATAATATTTTATCTAAGTACAGTTAATATGAATGGAGGAAAGTGCCCTATTACGAGATAAGCTCTTAATGTGAGATAACGCAGTTTCTGCTAAATTAATAAGAATCGTCTGTTGGTTTCACCGTGACTTTACTGCCCTTGGAGTGAAATCTATTTGTTCGATGGAAAATTGATTGTTAGATTGTGTAATCGTTGCGAAAAAAAGATTTGTGATTGAATTTGAGTGTTGAAAACCTCTCATATTAGAAATCCTATCTCGTAATAGGGGACTTTATTATGTGAGTAATTAGGGAATAGAAATGAAGTGCAAGATATTATGATATTAAGAAGAAATTAGGCGATAGGACGAGCTGTAATTATGTTATACCTTGTTAGACTATTAGATTGCGCGTTGTGAGATATGAAGTATGAGTGTGGTTGAGTACTCGATGTAGACTGAGTCTCGCTTCTTGGCTGTGTGCTGAAACGAACGAACGAATTCATTCATTAATATTACATGAAACATTGAGAACCTTTTCTTTTATGAAATTAGCACCGGGTGGCTTGTATCCAACGATCCAACCTCAGGGTGGCTATGGACCTTCCCCTCCGAGCGGTTACGGCCCTCCTCCCAATGCCTATGGCGGTCCTGGTGGTTATAATCCACCGAGAGCCTACGGACACCAGCCTGATCGCGAGAAAGCAGAGGAAGAGGGTGTCTTTGGGGATTGTCTGGACAAAGTTGGATTGGCATTAGGTGGATTAGTGGCAGCCGGTGGCGTAGCGGCAGCCATGCACGCGATGAATGTAAAGATATATTCGAATATTCGTTACATTTGCAATGTTGCGTGTCGCTTGAAAAATGCACGCGTGTTATTGTTCACAGAAAAAGAAGGAAGAGAGCGACGAAAAGGATCATGAGAAATCGGACGCTTCCAAGTCGAAAACGGAGAGCGAGGGTGGTTTCGGAGGTTTAGCTGGATCTCTCGGGATGGCCCTAGCCAGCAGCCTGGCGAGTAACGCCTTGCACGGCAACGCACAACAAGGCTATCCCGCCCAGCCGCAATCGGGTGGCGGCGATATATTGGGTTCTATTTTTGGAGCATTGGGTGCGGTATATTTATATAACTTGAATCTCAAAAACGTTATGTATGTAATTCGATCGGGAATGCGTATCTTGGGATTTCTTCGCGAGTCACGTGTAGATAAAATATGTTAAATATGTTTAAACGAGAGGTACTCTTCGGTAATTCTGATAAATGGATACGTGATTCAGGAATCTTATAAATCGCAAAATTTGTAATCAAGCGCTGGCGTAACTGGCCGAGTGACATCATCGCGTTGGAATTATTGCCAAGGCCGGGAATATTTCTCAAATGAGATAACTATAGATAGATAATTACCTGTATCTAAGATACATTCTCGATACTGTATCTAAGATCAAGCGATTTAACACAATTTACATCTATTTTAAGTTTTTTTTCTTTAATTGATGGTACTAGGTGGTGGAGGATCTCAACAACCTGCTCATCCTCCAAATCAGCCATTAGGCGGTGATGGTCTAAGCGGAACGCTAGGATCTCTTCTCGGTGGCGTTCTCGGCGGTGGTGGGAACCATCAGCAACCAGCGTATCAACCTTCAGGAGGATATGGTGGATACCAACCTTCGGGTAGTTATCCATCCGGTGGTGGATACGGCGGCCAAAGTTCTGGCAGATCGGATCTGCTGTCGGGAATAGGATCTGCCTTGTTCAGTTCGGCACTGGACGGTCTAAGCAAACGTGAAAAAGATGTAAATAACTCATTCTGATAATACATTTTCGATTTCAGCGATGTACTTAATTAAGTAAATGCGAAAGAAAGTTTGGTGACGTTTTCAAGCGATACTGAATTCTTTCTACGCAGAAATCTCGTGACGAATATCATTCCGGACCGCCTCCGAGTTATCAACCTCCTCCGCCAACACCGCCGGCGCCGAAGCCAACCCCGCGCCCGGAAACCCCACCGTCTTCCGGCGGGCATAAATTAACCGCTGACGAAATTTCGAAGGGACTCGGGCTGGACGATTAAACGCTTCGATGCGGAAGACCTCGGTCTGCAAGTACACTCATAGTGTCGACCTTATGCTCTCTTGTTGTTTGAAAACATAATCTACGCACCATCACGAATCTCGTTTATCAAAATACGGTGTACGATATACATGTTCGTCTTTTGACGCCAGCGGGTTTCAGTCGTATTGGCAGCTACATCAAATACAAACGTAAGAATACTACTCAATATTATATACGAATCTCGTTATGAATTCTTCTCGTATGGTATTAAATAGTACTAATTATAAGGTTGTTCCAAAATGGCTTTTAAGGATTTTAAAGATGGCATATTTTAGATAGGAATCAAGGTAAAAATCAAATCGCACACCGCTCTTTAAGCTATCCCTTCCATAAAATAGTCAAATTGACAGCTGTACAGGTATAGCTGAAAAGTTAATACATTTTAAGATTATAATTATATTTTTATAAAAGTTTTATTATTTTATAAGAATGGCCTTAGTCAGAGAAAGATATATACATATATACTATACTGTATATATATATGTATACAGTATAACTCATTAATCCGACTTATTAAAACCCAGATAGTGGATTTGCGGGATTAACTGGTATGTATAGAAATAGCACAGGAGATATAAATAAAATAAAGTGTGAAATCGTCATAGTATACACTTATTGTATTAAATAAAAAAAAGATACATATAATTGTGTATTGCATGTAATACTTGGTACAAAATGATTTATTGTTTAGAAAAATAGTTTCACTTAATGGGCGTTTTCTTTTTGCAAGAAAATGACCATTATTCCGGTACTATCTGGTTTCTAATAGGCCAAAGATTATACTGTTTATATAGATATATAACAAATGCCTTATATATATATATACATTTGAATTACAAATGTTGCATAATTATTATATGTATTTATTATTTATATATCATAAAATAAATATACACATCACACGTATAAAATACGTTAAAATATATTAAGTTGCATTTTTAATTTTATTTTTGTGTATCCAACTATGATCTTCTATCTAAGATAATATATTGTAATTATGACGGATCAAATAGAAACTATATTTGCGAAATTTAAACAATTTTTATACATAAATCACTTTCAGCTTTTAACGCTTCTAGATCTATCCTTTTCTTATTAAAGAAATAGACTTTTATTAAACACAGTGTTAACATCAGCAAACTAATTCCTAAAAATGCTGAAAATGTTATTAACCACGCTGATATTTGAACTATCGACGTCCCAGAAATGTAGCTAAAATAATATTATCGATTTATTATCGTCTATTTGAGTAACGTAGATTATATTAACGATATCTTCGATCACGTAAAATTTGGTGTCTTTGTTCTTTATCACATGATTTGTAAGTAAAGTAAAGTGATGACTTTACAAGGAAGTTTTTGTGGTAAAGTGAATACCGCAATGACATCACGTTAGCCATAGCCCAGAGTTTATCAATCTACAACTGCGAAAGCGTTGCTTGAACGTGTAATTTACCCACTATTTTAAATCTTGTTTATTGAAATATGCGATGCATTTGGTCGTTTCTCAACATCGCTTAACAAATATTTGGAACTGGATTCACAAATGTATCAAATACAAATGCGAACAATATCGTACGTGAGTTTCATTAATTCGCATTAAATAAAATTAAACTTGTTTTAAGACTTTTTTTGAAATTTTAAAGATTGCATATTTTAAATGGCAATTAAGAGAAATTAAATACACATACACTGTTCACTCAATCTTTTGTGGTCCAATTTACAGCAACAAAGTACATATTTTTTTAGATTATATTTGTATAAAAACATTATTACTTCATATATATATAAAACTGACTCTTAACAGATATACATAGTTCATGCTTTATATGTTTGAGCTAATGCTAATGCACAACCTATTTATTATTTACCAAGACAAAATTTTATCGTAAATAAAAATATATTAAAATTAATTAAGTCTTACTTTATAAATCTCACTTGTGCGCGATCATTCAGTCGTGATCAAGAGCCTCTGTCGAAGATGTTGTGTCCAGTACCACATTATACTTTTTCTGAAACGCGAATTACCGTTTAATAAAGTAATTCATAGTAATCACGAAGAATTAGAGTGAGAATTTTTCTTTACGAAACGTGGCGAGAATGCTAAACATACGTCAGTCTCAGCCTTCAACGCCTCGAGTTCCTCTCTCTTCTTTCTGTTGAAGAACCCGATCTTTATTAAACCTAGTACTAATAATATCAGCAATGCGACGCCTAATATAACTGACAGCGCTATTATCCATATCGCTACTCGCTGAGCTATCGGCGATCCTAAAAACGTTGTCGCGACCAAAGTGACGTCCGGTTTATGACCTTCTCTTTGAGCAATCTTGTCGGGTTGCGTTATGACAACGCTACCTTCAGTCACGTAAAATATGATGTCTTTGTGCTTCAGCATTTCAGCTGCAATCAAAGAATATTCAAGATGTATTTTTCTCTTACGTAGGTTGTTTGGCAATGTTATATTTACCAGGAAAACTCGACAGTTGCAGATCCATTGTCACCAAAAATTTCGCAACAGACAGAGAACTTAGGAACGGGCCCAGTCTACAAGTGATTTGTACGCATTCAACCGCGTCACTTGTGCAATTAATGTAGAGCGTTCTGTTTTCAGACGGCACGTGCATCGGCGTGTCTTCCTCTATACTGAATTTCGCGTGTGTGTTATTGCTCGCGATGCTCGACGTGTTCATCACGATCACATCATTTGTGGACGCGATCTTGTTAAGCGCGACGGAGAGTACTTCAGTTTGATTCGAGTCGCTGCAATAAAATTGATATCCGTCCATTATGCCAATGATATCGTTGACATTGACGATCGCTACGTCCTCGGCGTTGGATCGGCGAAAATACGTCGGGATTTTCACGGTCAACATTGCCTCCTCGATAGGACTGACACCGAATTTCTGCACCTCGTAGAAGTGTTGAAACCTGATATCGCTCAACGATTTCTTCTCGTTCTCGCGTAGATACGAGTACAAGTTCTCCTGTGCTTTCCTAAGGGAAGCAGCGAGCGAAGATCAAATCGCAACATATAATTCATCAATCAATACAAATTTGAAAGGAACACAGACTAAAGAGCCGTGACAGGATGTTAGTGTCTAAATAATTCTGATTTGTAATTTATTACGAAAAATAGTGAGAGGGAGATCCAGGTTCACACCCTGGTTGAGGTAATATTTTTCGCAATAAATTTAAAATAATTATTTAGACACTAACATCCTGTCACGGCTCTTTAATCTGTATTCCCTCGAATTTGTGTTTATCACATGAAAGCCGCTTGTGAATTTTATTAATTTCTCAAATTAACATTCTCAACGAGTTGTACCAACCCGGCGATCGCTATGTCGATGTCCACGTCGAAGTACACAGTGATAGTATAATTATTGTCGTTCCAGTTCGCCTCGTCGCTCTGAGTAGTTACATTCGCTTGCACTTCTATCTCTCTAACGTCGTACCTCACCATGCTCGTGTCCAGTTGCAGCATTAACGTTTTCTGAAAAAAAAAAAAACAAGGGGCTGATTCATCTATTACTCATTAGCAGAACCTACCTACGCACGCAGAAGATCGTCGTACATTCGTTCTAAGAGGATTCCCGATGTCGCAGATCACATCCAGTGTGCCGCTCGCGCGAGGATCCTCCGTGCACTCGGGCGGGATGCTCGCTAACGTTAGGACCTCGGTGAAGATACGCACTCTGGTCTGGTACGCCGGTTCGCCGCGATTGTAAGTATCGACGCGCAGAACGATTATCGGCGTAGAGCCGATGATGTACCTGTTGCCCGGAGTCGAGTCAGTGGACAACGTTACACCGAGGTCGGACACGCATACGTTGTCCTCGCCGCAGTCCACGGCGAACGGCAGCTTCAGGGAATCCTCGGTCTTCGAGCGGAGCTTGTTTATCACGACGCAAGATGCGCACAGCGAGCTCTCGTTTCTCGCGTGAAGATCATCGTCCAGCTGCATGGACACCGATATCTCGAGCGGGTCTATCACGTTTTGAATATTCCCCTAAAAGAGAATTTAACATGCTAAAGAGATCATCAATGTCGGCAGGCGTAAGAGTGTACGCACCATTAAATGTATCTCGAGCAGATTACTTGTGATTGTAGCTTTAAATAGCGTGTAACGTAATCTGTAGGTCTGCAATCCGTCGTCACTTTTCTGCGCCCGATACGTGGCCCTGCCGTGCAGCGGATCGACCTTCAGGACCGCGGTAACTCCTGAAACGACAGACGAGACGAACTTGGCGTTAGACACGCGGAGGCTGGCATGATTTAAAAAAATTTATAACAATTTACAAATTAACACACGTAAGATAAAAATTAGAAAATTCATATTATCCGACACATGGCTCTAATTTAATTAGAATGGCTTCTAATTTAATTAGAAGAAACTCAACCTGTCTGCGGTAATGCTTTTCGCAATAAGTTCCTTGTAATGAAATTATTGGTAGTTTCGTTAAGATAAAAACTGCATTCTGTTTCTGGCTACTTTAGAAGATAATTTTACAAAATGTAAGCCTTCCTAAGCCGCAAGACAAGAAATGAAGCAAAGAAATAAATTATAGCCAGTTGCGTTGAATATTAATTTTCGTTCTTCACTGGCGAAGAAGAGATTATTACTCGCGTGTATAAGATAAAAACGTTGTAGACGGCCGCTTACGCAGATAGTCAGGTACGTATGTGCCACCGTACGACATCCAGGCGTCGATCTTGAAGGACGTTGTGTTTCTCAGCAATTTGATCTTTTGCGGGTACATCAGCGTCACGTTGACCGTGACGACCGGCGCGGATCTCAGCAGGACCACCTCGCCGGAGAGATAGGCGCCCACGGCGACGTCGGGATGATTGTCGCGGTTCACGTCTCGGGGTTCCGAGATGGAGATACCGAAGCCCCGCATCGTCGGCGAGAATCGCGAGCCGACCAGCCTCTGGCTGTACCTCCGCGAAACGCCGTCTCTGTTCCCGTTGTATATGTACACCGCACCGCCGCTCTCCTCCTCGTGGGGCGCGCCCACGGCGACGTCGGCGTAGCCGTCGTGGTCGATGTCACCTAGACACATCACCGTAGACCCGAATCTACCTCCGACGATCTCGCCCTCGACCGTCTGCAGCTCTTCGAAATTGCTCTGGTTTTTCATGAAGACAGAAGACAACTTTTAGAAGGCTGAATATGTTCTTCCAGTTTTCAATCCCTGGTGAAAATGTTTTGCAGAATTTTTATACGAGTTGGTACACTTTTCAGAGATGCTGAGAAAGTCCACTTCTTCTCTTAGAATTTTTCACATGCATATGTGAATATGCATATCTGAGATATAAATGTTTTAAATTATAGAATGAGAAATTTCAGAATATCTCGGAATTCAGACATATGAAAAATTCTAGAAAAGATATAAGTTTTCTCGGTACTTCGGAAAAGTATTCCAATTTGTATGAAAAATCTGAAGTTTTGTAAAGAAAAAATTATAAAAAATCATTGAAAAAAATCTTGAAAATTCTGAAATTTACATAAAAATTGTGAAAAATTTTCACCAGGAATCGCTTACAGTACTGAAGGATTGAATGTAACGTTAAAAGTTTAGATCTACGCTTACGAAGAGACAAATGTAAATTTGTGCAAAATTATTCTCGCAAGATCCGCACATAAATAATACATACATTGTGTCGCGCCGTGAAGATGTAGATGTGACCCTCGTCCATGTCTCTGGACCATTGCGGCGCACCGACGATCAACTCTTGCCTACCGTCATTGTTGACGTCGCATGACGTTAATGCCGCACCGAAGTACTCACCGTAATGCTGACCGTACAATATCGTTTTAATAAACATGCGCTGATTGGTTTTAGGAGGAAAGGTGAATACAAGGACCTTTCCGTACATGTTCGCGCCTTGTGGCGCACTGGAAGCATACCAAACGTCTTGCTCGTTGAAGTAAGTGCCCGCTGTGATGGCGTATCCTGAAAACCGCCGTGGATATGTATATACGGATCTGAGATGGATACGGGAAATGTACCAATAGTCGGACATTCAAGGTGTGTCAGAAAAAGATAAAAGATTCGACTTTACAATCTATCAGCTTTGTACAGTTTGTACACAGTTGGAAAATTTGTGTTTTCTTGGTAATTGACACGCTTTCTCTATCTCGCTTTAAAACTTTTGATAATCAAATGATTAAGAAAACTAGACTTCTGCTTAGACTTAGAAGTCAGTGACCGCGACGTATGTTCGTCCATTGCTACGTTTATCTCGCAAGAAAAGTGGCAGTAGGAAATATATCTTTACCGAGGTAATTGTAACTATGAACTCGTGGCTCTCTAGCGAGCGAGGGGATTACCGTGCGCGAAAACGGATCGTCCATCGAGGCGACAGTCAATATCGCGTCGCCTTTCCAGTTGAATATGCCTGGGCTACCCATTGCGATATTCACGGTATACCGCGAGCTCATGTGCAGAGAGAAACCGGCTTGTCCCACCCCGTAATTATATATGTTTATGTTGTTCTTGGACGTGATTTGACTTCCAGAGTTTGTAAGTGGTAAGAAGTGATCCTCCGCTTGTCTCTCGAACGCATGGGCGTTTCTGGCCAGTGTCGTGTAGCAAATGCCGTTCATGTACCAGTTCGGCTTGTTGTCATTTATGATATTATTTATCCATCGCGGCCCGCAAACCTGTTATCAATAGAGCCGCTTATTGAACAGCGAAGAAGCATTTATACTTCTTTAGCGAGTATGCAGTTTCAACCTGTAACGTTCTTTTTCGTTCAGATATGACAGATAATTGGAATCCAATTTCTCTGACGGGAAAATAAGTAAAGAATTACTGTTTTTTTGTAGTTTTGAATTTTCAGAAAGTAAAAATTTAAGAGTTTTATAATTTTTACTTCTAGCACTCTAGATTGATCGAGTACCGAATGTTTGCAACAGAAAATAAAAAACCAGTAGAGAAGTACACTTAAAGTCACCAGTGATGAATAAAATAGAAATAAAGCTTCTTGTTGATCCAACTGGCAATATATTTAGTTAACTGTTACATTTGGTACGACGTTTGGTACGACCCAAGTATCAGGTAACTGAACTCGTGTACAGATGTTCACAGAGCATAAATTATAGCAGACTCACAGGTCATTGTCGACGTAGGAAATTGTCAGAAAAATGATTTTAACTAAGTGAGCATGTTCGCACGTTATAAAGTTCCGAGTTGAACTGTTCAATGACCTGTGAGTCTGCTATAATGTATGCTCCGTGAACATCTATACACGAGTTCAGTTACTTGATAAGGACCTAATACTTGGGTCGAAACGTCGTACCAAATGTATAACGCAGTTAACTAAATATATTGCCAGTTGGATCAACAAGAAGCTTTATTTCTAGAAAATAAAAACTCTTACTCTTCGTCCAGACTCTTGACAAACTTAATCAGAAAGAAGGAAAGAAACCTCTTTTGATATTCCGAAATAATCACGCGAAATACTTTTCATGACAGAAACCAAATGTGAACTTCGTAGGTCTAAAGTAGAAATTTCAAGTGCTATCAATGATGACTGATGCAAAGGGTAAGATTGATGGCAGAAAACAATTCGTAAACGCTTAAGACTGTCTTAAGTCGTAGACAACTTGTGAAAGGCTATTGTATACGACTTAAGTGTTTCTCTGCCTTGCCTTACGTCTACGACTTAAGACAGTCTTAAGCGCTTACGGATTGTTTTCTGCCATCAGCTTAAGCTGTAACCCACCATAACTCTAGCCACCGTTTTGTTCTGCACGGCAATGGTAGCACCGATCCATGCATTGTCCTTTATCTGGTTGACGAATCTCTCGCGGGGACGCGGACCGTTTCCGGTTTTATCCATCACCCACTCCTTGCATACACCATTCATCGCACACTTGAAGACCGTGCCCGGCTCCGTCACGTACGGCAGTTCGCTGGAGTTGGCGCGTGGGGCTCCGACGAGTAACAAGGACTCATTCGCACCTACGTAGAGAGCCACCGAGAATCCGAAGTAACTTCCACGTTCGCCCGGCACGCGCATAGGATCCCTGAATACCTCGGCGTCGAGTGAATTAATGTTGTACGCCGACGGATTGCGCTGCAGAATCGCCAGAACGAAAATTAGAATCGGCACACGAGAGCGCACTAAACGTGTTCGAAGCATTTTGGACAATATCTTGGAAGGTTCCGCGTTGCTGGAGTAGCCGTGTCCGTAAGGAAACTGCGGAGACAAAGTTGTGTTACCGGCGGATGTGGTACTTACACACCGCAATGACATCACTCACATTAGTCAACGTTTATCTATATGCAATTCCGAGAAGTGGAAACGGAAGGAACCTGTTTCACAATTGTAGACGAGACATAATTGCAGAATAATAAATCTCTCACGCAAGGCTTGCTACGGTTTTTTTTTCTTCTTCTCGTTTATTCGTAATCAGTTAATAAAGATGTATATAAATGCAAGATTAAATAATGTAATATAGTTACAATAATTCTTCAAAGTTCAACACATAGGAAAAAAATGTATACCAATTTATTACTTTTTAATTACTTTCCACCGCACAAACCATGCCAACAATATACATTAGCCGAGTTGCTGCAAATAGTTGAAGTTAATGCGGATGTGTTAACTCGTGTCTACAGTTTCTGTTTCGCCGCAGTTCTGTCTCGATTACATGCGATTTACATGGCTAGATTCGCAAAACGTTCACCTCACAATAATGATTCAGACTCGCTGAGAATTATCAAGCACTGACAGACGCAATGGCAATACGCGGGACGATAGATGCGGGATTGGTACCAAATAACATTGCAATTCTCGTCTATCTAATCAATAATTTCATTGATGAAATGTCGCAAAAGAAATCAAATCCATATATCAGTAGGAGTTCAAAGAAAATTTTAGAAACTTGCAGAGAAGGATAGCACGATACATTTACGAGAGAAATGGGATTAAAGACGGACGAGCAAGATCTAAAACAGCCCTTACGGCCGATTTTCCCTAATGCGATCCTCTTTCCTCTCGTCTCATAGTTTACCTCGTAAACTTCAGGTGCTCGAACTTAGGGACAGTATTAGCTGTAAATCGTACGAGGCTTTGGCACGTGCTGCCCCGCGCGATCTTGTTCAGTTTGCAGTCTTTAACTTTAAAGTTAAAAATTACATGCTAAAATAGAACACGTTGCGTCTTTGCATGTATATGTGTATATACAATACATATACATAATATAATTGGTGTGATACACACAATTAACATACATGTTCTATTTCACTATAGTTTTTAACTTAATAACATAAGAACTTTGTGAACTGAACAGCACGCGAGGAAACCTACGCCGAAGGCTCAAGTGATTTCTAATACACGGGGAGAATTTTCTCTTAAAATTTACCCCGAAAATCATATAATCGTGAAACAACATGGCATTTTGAAGACCTTTATGAAAGTTTTTGAAATTTTACCGCACACTCTATACTAGTAAAATGTATGGTAAAATTTCCAAAAACTCTCACACAATTCCTCGAAATTCAGGATAAATTTTAAGAAAAAAAATTCTCTCCGTGTACCATGCCTGAATTCGAGCGTCCAAAGCTTACTAGATGAAACAGGAGAAGTTCGGATCGCAGGAAAAATCGGCCGAGATGGGCAAAACGGCGGATAAGCCTGATCTAAAATATGATTTAAAAAAAAAAAGGAATCGACCGCATGTTCGCGCGTGATCAACTCAGTGTTATAAAAATATACTTCAAGGAATCACAGATTACATTATGTACAAATGGAAAGGATATGGGAGGTCGGAGTAGAGCGCATCGGGGAGGGCGGGGATTTCGATGAGTAAGCGTGAGCGCTTAATCGGAAGAATCACTCGTGGTCGAAACTGTTTGAGCCTGGGACGCGGATCGGTTACGATAGCTCCTCCTCGCCAGCTCCTCCACCTTTTTCCGGAAACACTCTAAACGTTTCAGTTTCTGCTCGTCGGAGCTATCGTCCGCGTCTCTGTCGTTTCGCTCCTTACGCGTCTGCTCGCTATTTTTCCCGCCCGTGGATGAGATCCCCGATTTGATACCGCTGTCAGGGGTGCAAGGAACTTGAAGCGATTTGCCACTCGGCGTCGATGGTCCATCCTCGCGATGATCCTTACTAGAGTTGCCGTTGATGCAATTCCTTTGGCCAGCAGATTTCTCATCCTCTTCCGAGTCGTCATCGAGCTTCTGTCGTTTACTCTGGCTCTTACCGGAACCGTCGTGTCGTGAACTATTTTTGCACTTTCGATGCTTCCGTTTGTGCGCCTTCGCGGACGTGTCCGAGTCAGTTTTAGAATGTTTTCGTTTATGGATAGCGACAATGTCCTCGTAGACGCAGCTGCTGCTGCTGCTGTAGCTCGAGCTCTTGTCGTCCTTCTCGATCGCGCTGGTGACGTACCGCGATCTTCGGAAAATCACTCCGGAACTAGTACTGGGTTGAGCCGCGTCGACCGGCCGCTCGTCGTCACTGTCCGAATCACTATTGACTTTTAACACAGTACACTTCCGTCTGGCGGACGGTCTTCTCCTGCCAGAGAGCCTGGTGTGTTTCCTCTTGACGCTCTTCGACTTGGACTTGGACTTGGACCTGCGTCTCGAGTGAGCATTGTCCCCTTCGCTACCGGAATCCGAGGCGGATCGTTCCATCGCGGCTATTCGCATGAGTTTCTCCCGGCGATTCGCGATAAGCCGAGTTATACGATTCGGTGACTCCAATGGCCTTTCAGGAGCTACACCACCTTCCGATGCCGTAGTATCTATGGTGGGGAATAACGATATATTACATTATTCTACAGGATGTATCTGGAAAAGATAATCGAAATCACGCAAGAATTAATTTTTTAAAGCAACAGCGAAGGAACATTGACACATCACGAGATACATCCACACTACGGTAATATCATTAATAATCCATAAGGCTCTGACATAAAATCACAATTCGAAGGGATAAAGCATACAAGAGCCAACACAGGATGTTAGTGTCTAAATCATTTTAACTTTTTAATTTATTGCGAAAAATTTAAAAATTAAAATTATTTAGACACTGAACATCCCGTCTTGACTCTTCTATCCTTTATTCCTTCAAATTATTAATAATAATTGTCAAATTGATCAAACAGAATAATTAATTTATAAAAATTAACATTTATATTCGACTTTGTGATAGTAACCACCATATTTAGCAGCTTGTCGTTCTTATTTTGCTTCACACAAATAATACTTTTTTTTTTCAATAAAGGTAATTATCCTTTATACCATCGGCATCTGACGCGCTATACGGCTCGCCCGTTGCCGGGTTTATTTCAGAGTCGCTGGGGGTATGTGGCGTTGGCACATCCTCGGAGCTCCATCCTTCAATCTCGCGCTGCACGAGGGAATCGAAAAAGGCCATCATTCGCGGGTCTTCCTTAGTCGATTGGTGGCTGTAATCGTGCGTCATAAATTGTCCGCTACGTAGAACCAGCCCTATATATTCATCGTGCGTGAACACTCGGCGCTGTCTCTCGCGCTTGCCAGCGTCTCTCTATGAGGAAGCACAAAGAAAACAATGGTAGATAACGCCAAACCGTAACGTCTGTTTGTAAAGAACCGTCGTAAAGCAGCGGTAACCTTCAGTCCTCCCAAACAGCCGGTTCCAAGAGGGAACGGACTCCAAATCTTGATGATCTTCTCCACGCCTGACGATGCGAAGATGCAGCTCGCTTGATTGTATCGAACTTGATTGACGATCGATCTGTGGCCGCGCAACACCATGTGAGCTTTTTCCACCCATGCTTTGCCGTCCATAGGCGGAATTTTCCACATGTACAGATTGAAGTCATCGGAGCCTACGAATTCAACGTATGAGACGCGCATAGATTGTCGAGTGTGATTGCTTTTCTACGATCGTACGAAAATATCTAAGCATAAACACATTTGAAGAATTTTTCTACATAACGAAATAAAAAGTTTATATTAGGTATTTACCGGAGAGAACGTATTCGTCGTTCTCGCCGGCGAAGCAACATGATTTCATGGTGCAACTGTTGTAATATCCCGGATGATCGAATTCACACAGGTACGTGGGAGAATCGACTGCATAAAGGACCGGTGGTAATCTCCTTCGTAAGGCCAGCAATCGGTTGCCCATCGAGTTAAACCTGACATTCATGCAACTCTGTTGCGGGGTTCCGTAACACAACACAGGCCTGCGGATGAAACACGACGATTAATAAAAGCTCCAAGAAATCCTTCATGTACTACATTATCGACGTTTCTAAAATAACGTCTCATGCGACGCTTAGCTACAGCGAATTCGGTTGCTCGTACTAGTGCACACCGAGTGCGCACTAAGGCTTGTTCACAGGCAATTTTTATATTTAAGGATCATCTGGAATATCTCTTGAAATACTTCTTGTAGCGAATTCGACAGTTTGCACTAGTGCGCACTGAATGCACGCCAAGGCTTGTTCAGAATCTACTCTTATACTTATAGTCGTCTCAAGTACACGTCCAGAAACTATTTAGTCAAAAAAATGATCCGTACGAATGCTATACAGATAATTTTACTGGTTAAGAAGTGTTTCAAAAAGTATTTAAGACGATCCTTAAATATAAGAATTGAACAAGAACAAGTAAACACACTGAGTGCGCACTAGTGCAGGCTGTGGAATTCGCTATTAGTCAGTCAAATAATTTATGTAGCACCTGTACGATCATTTGTTTTTGGCTAGAAGGTTTTTGAATGTGTATTTAAGACGACCTTAAATATAAAAATTGACTATAAACAAGACTTACGGCGTTTTTCATTAGCAGAAATGGTGCGCACTGAATGCACACTAACGCGGTTTCACCAAACATCGCTTAACTTTAATCTTACAATTAGTTTAACTCAAGTTTGTCTCTTTCTAAAGTAACAGTTGGAAAGAGACGAAGAACGAATTAAGCTAAGCTTGAAGTTAAGCAACGTTGGTGAAACCGAGACTACGCACAAGTCTAAGGCCGGTATTCGTAGTCAGATATTATATTCAAAACGGTCTTACGATCATCTTTAAATACTCCAATAGTCAATGAAAAGTTCCATACAGCGTCTTTGGATAAATTCAAGACGGTCTTGAACATAAAATCTGACTATGAATACCAGCCTAAGACTTGTCGTCTTAAATATCTCTTGAAATGCTTCTTATGTCCATTTCTATCAATGCAAATTAACTTTAATCTCGGTTTCATTTTCTACGTTTTTCTAGTTCGAAGAATTGGAAAAAGTGCGAAAGTAACTTAAACCGAGATTAAAGTTAAACTCCGGGTGCGTTCGAGAGAGCTCACTATCAGCGCAAAGTAGCCTTACATTGATTAGAAGTGGACATTAGCCAGTAAAATTATCTATGTATCAGTACTATCATTTTTTTGCTCGATGGTTTTTAAACGTGTATTTAAAACGACCTTAAATATAAAAATTAACCATGAACAAGCCTTAGGACGTTTTTCATTGGCAAAACTGGGACGCATTGAGTGCACACTAAGCCTCGTGCATAGTCAATTTTTACATTTAAGGATCGTCTTAAATACCTCTTGAAATACTTCTTATGTCCATTTCTATCAATGCAAATTAATTGAAAAGAAAAATTATTAAATTATTAATCTCGGTTTAACTTTTTTCAAATCTTTTCCCAGTTCTATGAATTCGAAAAAGATGGAAAGTAACTTGAACCGAGACTAAAGTGGACATTAGCCAGTAAAATAATATGTACTATCTTTTTTTTTGCTAGACAGTTTTTGAACGTGTATCCTTATAGCGTTTTTCATTGGCAGAACTGGTGCGCATTGAGTGCACACCAAACCTTGTGCATAGTCCATTTTTACATTTAAGGATCGTCTTAAATCCCTCTTGAAGTACTTCTTATGTCCACTTCTATCGATGCAAATTAATTGAAAAGTAGAATTATTAAATTATTAATTTCGGTTTAACTTTCTTTTTATCTTTTTCCAGTTCTAAGAACTCGAAAAAGATGGAAAGTAACTCGAACCGAGACTAAAGTGGACATTAGCCAGTAAAATAATCTGTACTATCATTTTCTTTTTTGCTAGATAGTTTTCGTGTATTTAAGACGACCCTAAATATAAGAATCGACCATGGACAAGCCTTAGTGCGCCGTTCAGTGCGAGCAACCGAATTCGCTATCAATCTCGAGCCGCACATCCGTGCACTTACTCCAAAGGTTTCCGTATATCCCACATACTGACACCTTCCTTAGCATTGGCAGTAGCGAGCATTCTGGGGTCCACGGGATTAAACATGACAGAGTGGAAGGCGCTTTTGTATTGTGCCAGGGTCTCCATAGCGTTGTTGCTGCGTATATCGTAAATGAGGACTCTCCCGTCGTCGCAGGCACTGGCGAAGACCTCGTCATTGTGCGGATGAATGGACAGCCCGTAGACGGGCTTCTCGTGCAGGAAGATGTTGAGAGATTCGCCCCTGTAACGTACAACAACGCGGCGTAACAAGGCGTTCGTACGCGCATTCCGCGCGCCTCGCGTCGGTAGGAATGTGCCTTACGTGCGCAAATCGTGGACTATGACTTGATCGTCGTTCCCCGCAGAGAATATCTTCGTCTTGCTGCTGTCGTAACCAAGGCAAAATATATTGCTAACGTGTTGCGATTTCATCACCGTGGGCTTGCCCATACCCTGTATCGCCTGCTCCACTCGCCACAGCAGAACTCTTCTATCGTCGCCCCCTGCGAAAATAGGACGTTACATGCCATTCGCACACGTGATTCCGTCTATTATTAGAAGATATTTTCCAAATCTTTCTAGCGTGCATGTCGCGCGACAGCCGCCGAGCTCTTTCCAACGCGAGAATTAACATTTCGAAACTACGTCAACCAGTATGTACGTCGCGAGAAACGGAGCGCAAGTGTCGCGGGACCGATCAAGAAATCGGAGCTGATCCAACGAGGATCGCGACCAACGGTTGCGAGAGGCGCTCGTGAACTCGTTGTGTCGTGACGCAAACGGGAAAATAACAATAAACACGGTTTTCCAGATTTGAAAACCGCCAGCGACGCATCCGCCCTAACAAGCGTATCGCGTGGGGATCGAAACGAGTCGCGCCGTCGAGGACTCACCGGACACAAGCAGGTCGCCCTGATTCGAGAACTCGATCGCGTTGACGCATCCGTAGTGGGACAGCAGGTCCTTCCTGTAGAGGTTCTCGGAGTTGTCGAACCTGGCGTTGATCAGGCCCCGGCAGTAGTCGACCTTGTCGTCGATCTGCCGCGCGAGCACGTAGGACAGTGCGCTGCACTCGGACGAATGGGCGAGCTCGCCGGGGTCGCCGCCACCCTCGCACGCCTTCCGCGGCGACAGCCGTCGGCGCCGCCGGCGGAGGCTGCCGGCGCGGAACCGCGCGCGGCCGTCGGCCCCCTCCTCGTCGGCGACTGGCGGCCAGTCCCTCGGGAACGTATCCGCCGCCGCCGGCATCCCCGTCGCTGCCGTCGACGCCATCACCGCACGACCGTCCCCCGTCGTCGCCGTCGCTCCGACCTCCGCCCCCTCCTCCTCCGCCCGCGGGTAATCGCCACGCGTCCCACTATCCTCGCCGTGCCCGGCGCGCCTAGGTGGACGAGCGCGGGCGCCGTCCGAGTCGAGCTCGACGAGCAGGAAGAGCCCTTCGCGCAGCACGGGATCGCGGAGCGAGCACGACGGCTCCGTCTCGGTCGTCGCGGAGGCCGCCTCCTCCTCCTCCTCCTCCCCCGCCACCGTCTCCCACCGCCTCCGCTCGCGGCACCTCCGCCTTCCTCCTGCCGAGCGGGTGCCTGTTTACCTCGCGTCCGGACAACGTCCGCCGACTCGCTCTCCTACGCGCGGACGGTCTACGCCGCGCACGGGAGACGAAGGGGAAAACACGTAGTCGGGACCCGCGGACGTTCCAACGCCACGACGCACGGCTCTGTGTACATACACGCACACGCGCGCGCGCTCGGCCTCTCGCTGGGAGCTTCGGCCGTCACCACTACCGCCGCTACTGCCACTACCACTACCATACCAATCCGCACTCCCCCGATCGGCCAACCGTCTGTTCTCCGTCGTCGTCGTCACCAGTCGCCCCGTCGCTCTGCTCGTCCAGCCCGATCAGCTGATCGCGCCCGCTCGGTTACGGTCTCTCCCCCGTGCGGTCACTTCTGTCGTCTCGACGCCTGCTCATCGGTGCGCGCGCCACGGTGCTGCTGCTGTTGCCGCCGACCACCACCGTCGCGTCGACTCGCGCGTTCTTGCCCGTACGTCGCGCGCTCGAGGATTTGCCGGCCTCTCCGCGACTCTCTCGTCGCCGCCGCGAATTCGTGCCGCCGGCTTGTCTCCCGACAACGTCCACTCGGCGGCGGAAATTATCCGCCACGTCCGTTCCCCCTCGATTCAGAAGTAAACACGGGCGCCGCGAGAGCGATGGAGACTGGCGGCGCGTCGCGGCCTCCGCACGTACTACTCGCGGGCCCGCCAGGTTAGACTCGCGCGGGGCTGAACAAGATTCCAATTGATTCGAATGAAATGTGCGCTAGGTCTCGTAAAACAGAAATACCGATTGAATTTGATTAAGAATCGATTGGCTTTTCATAAGTTTAGATGTGTGCACTCGACCCTCGATTTGCACGAGTCATTCGTTCCGCGTGGCCCTTTTACGCGGAGAATCGCGCGGAGTACTCGCCAGTACAAAATAAAGCTCGTTGCAGACGATGCTATTCTTCCTGCTGGATTGCTTGCGATTTAGTAAATTACTAGAAATCCTGAGTGCTGAGTGGTGCAATGATAGTAATTTATTAGATTGCAAGCAATCCAGCAGGAAAAATAGCATCGTCTGCAGCGGGCTTAACTATGAAAAGTTTTGCAGGCAAAAGACGCCCTTACTTTTAAAGAGATCGCGACAAGGGGAGCAGAGATATTCAAAGTCTGAAGAGTTCTCTCGAAAGCAGAGATTTCTAGCTTTAAAATTAAAAAAAACATGTTTCAATCCTAGCGGAAAAAATTTCTACAAATAACTACAAAAATTGACTTGAAATAGAAATTTGTAGAAATTTTTATATCTGCGTTGAAACATTTATTTCTTTGTAAAAATGTCTATAAAATAGTATCACAAATTGCAATGTTCTCAAATCAAGAAATTATTGCAAGTAGTATTTCATGAAAATGTACAATTTTGTAAAAATTAGTACAAAACTTTACTAGCTTTGAAAATTTGAGAAACAACGAAATCTCAAAGAATTAAAACAACTGCTTACTTGTAGAATATTACAAAAATTAACAAGTGTTCCAATTCTAGCATTTCCATGTTGATTTTTATAACACTTTTTAAATTTACGTGGAATTTCTTAGATTCTGGCAGTTATATTTAATTTTTTTGTAGAATTTTGCATAATTTCCGGCAGGGAAATGCGATAAGTTTTCGCAAAGTTACAAGTATTTGAAGTCGAGTGGAATTTTGGTACAAATTTTTGTTGCGTTAATTTTGTTGCGCAGTGTATGTGAATACTCTGAAATATTCCATTTCTAAGATTTCTCATTCTACAAATACTGAAAAACTCGTAAAAATCTTATAAGATTAAGTCTGAAATTATATTGTATAAAAAATCTGAAAAATTCATCCTATTTTGAGAAGAGTTGCCTTTAAATTTTTTTTCAAACTTCAATAACCAATCTTTATCTTTACTGGATAAAAGATTTTTGTTACGTATCTCACATCATTAACAAAGATGTAATTTGTTCTCTATCTGCTGCCAATACTCGAGTACCCGGATATCTTGAATATCACTCGGATATTTGGCAGCTTTCCATCTGGAAAATAATGTCAAATCAAATGATACAATGCATTTTGATATATTTGCTCTTTTCACGCAGACAAGCTAATGAATGGCACTGTTTTACATACAAATTCAATATCGTTATTGCGGATATAATTTATAACAAATAAACATGCAAACGCAAGTTTTCAGCAGGAAAAAACAAAAGGTGGAATGATGCAATATTCCCCGTATTAATATCGTCGATAAACAAATTGTTATCGGGAGGGGGAATTTTTACAGGCATTGGTAAAACGACGGTGTGCAAAAGGATTGCGTCTATGCTGGAGAAAAGGGGCAGCAGGTTCGACGGATTTTACACGGAGGAGGTGCGAGATCGGAACGGCTCCAGGATCGGCTTCGACATCGTGGGAGTGAAGGATCCTGGGGGGAGATTACCCTTGGCGCGGCTAAAGTACGTATCTGTTTATGACAATGATAACAAAGCATAACTGAATACATGTTGTATTTAATTCAACATTTCTTTACGGGCAGGGGTCTAACAGAGGCTCCAAAGTCTTCCGCTCAAGTGGGAAACTACCGCGTTCTCCTGAATAATTTCGAGACTGTAGCGCTGCCAATATTGGATCTGGACACTGTAAGAATAATGATTTGCCTCGAGGTGAATTTTTGATCACTCCAACAGCTCAATAACGTCATATTGCCGTTTGCAGGATGTACTGCTTGTCGACGAAATCGGTAAAATGGAATTATTCAGCAAGGAATTCAAGAAGAAAGTAACGGACATGTTCTTCGGTTCTTCTAAGAAAGCCTTCGTGATCGGGACTATCCCGCAAATGCACAAAGTGCCGCAGCAACACGCGGAGCTATTCGGCAAGTTACAAGCAGACAAAAGGATAAAAATTCTGAACGTGACTCGTGAAAATCGGAATGATCTGCCAGAGGAAATTATTCGTTACGTCTCATAAATTTCTGTCGCTTAGCACACCGTTATTCGTTAGTCGCGCAAAATAAAGTATCAATTTACGTATGTACATCATAAATGTCATTTATTATTAACAAAAAACAAAATGTTAGATCAAAGATTTCTCCAATCACGACAGATTTGTAAAAAAATTGTCACAAATAACGTGACGCATAGTGATTGGCTGAAACATTGTACTACATAATTACGCTAGTTTCTTTGCATTTATGTATTCTCTCTCGCTCTCTTCCTCTCTGTAATAATTACTATATTTCATTGAAACTCCACCGTTGGTCGTTAAAGAATCAATTAAAAGTTTAAAATTCTGCGCTTCGTATAAATAATAGATTATAAAATCAATACGCTTCACGGGAATATCTTCGAGATCAAAAATTCCTTCTGATGTGTACGCGCAACACATAGGTATCTTTAACGAACAAGGCGGTCATTGATTGAGGGTACAAAATAGAAACGTTCTCTTCGCGCCATTTTATTACAAATGAACACAAATCGCCAGATGCTTGACGAGCCGTGTTTTCTTATCTACGATAAGAAAAGTCTGATAGATTTGTTTGCCTGTTGTAAAAATAAGCAAACCTTTCTCGCTTTTGTACCCGTCAATTTTATGCATTTCTCACCGCGCGTATTTTATAATACAGGAAATTCATCGTTCGATCTCCTAGAAAGAATATAATAATTATTGTTGCGGAGAAGCCTAAAGTGTCTCTTACCTTCCCCATTTCAGTATCAAATATATTACGCACACTTTGATTGGACTACTTATACTTCAGTTATTATTATATTTATTTTTCAATAATACCTAGGAGACGTTCCACTAGCACATGAACTTTAGTAAAGAATTGGCGTAAGCCATCGGCCTTACGTTTGGATGAGGCTGTAACATAAGAAAAAAAAAATGACGTGCGGCAAACACAAAATATGACGAGAGCGAATAACCAAGTCGAATCAAAATGAAAACCATGATCTGTGAACAAAGTACGTACCATTGCGTCATACGACGTGAAGTAAGGTTTCATGTCACTGCCGTTAAGTGTGATGAAGGCACCTCGATTACCCATGGTATCACTGAGATTCAATAAAATATATTATCAAAGTTGTACACACAGATGTAACCAGTGTACTCTATTATACTGGAAGACCCATTAAGACTTGATACAAGAACAAGACACAATGTACAATACACAGTTTCTTTGGAAAAATTGAAGCTCGTAATATTTTTATTATCTCTGTAGCGATCGAGAATGAGTATACGGGGCCTAAGTTAGTCGACAGGAAAGTTACGCTGGAATTCATGAAAGATTTATTAGAGTCGTGTAGAGATGAAAAGAAGCTGCACCGTAAATACGCTTACAAAATTCTGTTGGACGTTAAATCACGGTTCATGGCACAACCTAGCTCAGTGAACATTGTAATCGCGGAAGAAAAGAACTCTTTCTAGTAATTCCGGCTGTGCGTAGTCAACAATTTTCAACCTCATCTTATACAAGCGAGACAGAAATCGTGCGAAAATCGTTGACTAATCAGCAAATTACTGAAAACTTTTAGTAAAAAAAGAGACAGAACAGGAACCATTTGTCTGCCTCACTCTGTCGATCTTCTTCAAAAAGGCAGTAGGCCTTCCGGTATAATAGAGTTCGCTGAATTGGCTCACGATTGTTGATGTATAACCAACGTACCAGTAATTTGGAGCGGAGAATACTGTGATACACTTCCCATCATGTCCCACCTCGTATCCCTCGTTCTTAACCTCGTGACTCCTTACAATATAGTCAAGAGAATTTATCCTGAGGAAATTCTGCGTGACGTCAGGTCCGAATTGAACACCCACGCCTCTCTTGCTGGGCGCTCGGCCCATCTGCGGCTGCGGATCCGACCACAATAGCTCGCACATCAACCCCTCGTCAGGCGGTTGTCTGTTTCTGTCGATTTCTCTAATTTCTTCCAATGTCACGTTGTCCCGCGAGAATAATCCGCCGTGCATCACCTGATACATAATAAACAAATTACGAAAATTACATGCGATACACGCGGGCTGGCTCGTCGTATGAGAATGGCTGACTCTTAATGCGAGGACAACAGATTAGAGTCCAATCGTCATCCCATATTTCTTGAATTTAAAAGAAAAAAAAACTATAATCAAACGGATTGTTGAAGGTCAGGAATGAGAGAGTACAAGACAAAATTGTTCTCCATTTCGAACACATTTGCGAACAATATAACTTTGGACGACACTTACAAGTACTTTATGATTGAAGCAGTGTGCGAGAGGGAGCCAATTGTATACCTCGGTGAACAATTCCGCCATCTGAACAGAATATTTAGCTTTGACCTCACCGTCGAAGCCGTACATCTGGTTCATCATAGCAGATTCATGATTACCTGGACACACGAAATATTTCGTGAACGTGATAAATTCAAATCTCCTAAATATTGAGAGAAGAATCACGTACCTCTCGACATGAAGAAGTGGTTTGGGTACAATAATTTAAAACCAAATAGAGTAAATATGCACTCTACTGAGAAAGAGCCTCTATCTACAAAATCTCCATTAAATAACTGCGAGATTGTTAAGAGAAACACACTTTTGAATCCTTGCGCGATCTTGCGCCTCCACATTACAAAATCATGCGAGTTTCATATAAACTACAGACTCTTGTAAAGGATACATATGAGTTAGTCTCCGACGGCAATCCGTTCAATTTAAATATATTCAGCAGGTCATAATATTGACCGTGTATGTCCCCGCAGATGGTAAATTTCTTTTCTTCCGGGATTACGATGTCCACTAAGCTAGGTTGTGCCATGAACCACGATTTAACGTCCAACAGGATTTTGTAAGCGTATTTGCGGTGCAGCTTCTTTTGATCTCTGTACCACTCTAATAAGTCCTTCATGAACTCCAGCGTAACTTTCCCGTCGACTAGCTTAGGCCCCGTATACTCGTCCTCGATCGCTGTAAAAATAATAAAAACATTACGAGCTTCAATTTTTCAAAAGGAAGGAAGACTGCGTATTGTACATTTTGTCTTGTTTTTGTAGCAAATATTTTTTTACAAACATGGAAAAATATAATTACAACGCAGGAAAGCCATAGGGCGCTCGAGAGCTCACTATTGGCGCTACTTCGCGCTGAAAGCGTCGTTCTATTTTTCTTCAATAATAAGCGACAAAGATAGAATAACGCGTTCAGCGCTAAGCAGCGCTGATAGTGAGCTCTCGGACGCACCCGTAGTTTAACTTTGATCTTGGTTCAAGTTACTTTCGCTCTTTTTCCAATTCTTAGAACTAGAAAAACATAGAAAGTAACACCGAGATTAAAGTTAATTTGCATTGATAGAAATGGACATAAGAAGCGTTTCAAAAGACATTTAAGACGATCCTTGAATATAAGAATTGACTATGCACAAGTCTTAAGCCCAGTTTCACCAAACGTTGCTTAACTTTAATCTTAAGCGTCGTCTACAATAACCGGCGTAAGCGTGGAGTAAGAAGTAAGAGTAGGCGTAAGAGAGCTACTTCCGGTTTAATAGAGCTGGAGTAAGGGCGTAAGCGAAATGAATTATTTTTATTTCTTACGCCTACTCTTACTCTTACGCCTTTTCACGCATGCCTACAACACCTACTTCACCGTATTGTCGATTGAGTCGGCGTAAACAGCTTACGCCAAAAACGTTACTCCTACTCTTACTTCTTACTCCACGCTTACGCCGGTTATTGTAGACGACGCTTTAGTTCATGTCTGTCTCTTTCTAAAGTAACAGTTGGAAAGAGACAAAGAACGAATTAAGCTAAGCTTGAAGTTAAACAACGTTGGTGAAACCGGGCCTTAGACCGGTAGTCATAGTCAGATTTTATATTCAAGACCGTCTTGAATTTATCGAAAGATGCTGTATGAAAGCTATTTTCATTGGCTATTGGAGTATCTAAAGATCGTAAGACCGTCTTGAATATAAGATCTGACCACGAATGCCGACCTTGGGCCCGGTTTCACCAACGTTGTTTAACTTTAGCTTAATCCGTTCTTCGTCTCTTTCCAACTGTTACTTTAGAAAGAGACAAACACGAATTAAACTAATTGTAGGATAAAAGTTAAGAGATGTTTGGTGAAACCGCCTTAATGTGCACTCAGTGCGCACCAGTTCTGCCTATGGAAAACATTACAAGGCTTTATAAAAATGACAATTTACTGCGCTGACAAAGACTTATACATCTGCTACATTATATACTCTATGAACATTTATACATAAGGTAATACTCACATACGTACTCTTTAATATGTTACTTGTAAATTTAACACTCGTTTATGTAAATTATTTTTCTTTGTAAAAAAGCTGTGACATGTTGGTTTGCAGTTTGATTGCTTGATAAGGACCGGATTCTTGGTCGAAACGTCGCAACTAATGTAACACTCTATCAATTATATTGCCAGTTGGATCAACTAAAGTCTTAATCGTATTACAAGGCTTGTTCGTGGTCAATTTTTATATCTAAGGTCGTCTTAAATACACGTTCAAAAACCATCAAGCAGACAAAAAGGAGAGTACTGTTACATAGATAATTTTACTGGCTAATGTCCACTTTTACTAATGTAAGGTACGTTCGGGAGCTCACTATCAGTGCTGCCCAGCTCCCTTAATATTACTGAAGAAAGGAATTAAAGAAAAAAGTTACAGCCAGTATACAAACTCCCCAAGCCAATGAAGGTACTTTATACTGAGAAATCATCTTTACGAGACCAACAGTTTGCGCTTTGCAAGCATAATTGCACACGAAATTGCACAGCATAAGACCATCTAGAGCAATAAGCATGCTATGCGAATCAATGTGGCGATTCAATGCTCGATGCTCGTTGGTTTCGACGGTTCTTACACCATGCATGCGTAGGCACGCAACTTTGTGTACAAATGCCCTAACACTTTGACGAAGAACAATTCTCACCCATATCTTCCAGATTAATCGTGTCGGCTATGTTCTTCTTGTCCTCTACGGAGATGGCCTTGTGGAAAGCCGACACTTTAACCATCTTGCGGCACTCCATGTACCTGTCCTTTGCGTCCTTGTCGTTGGGCCTAGCTTTGACGACAGTCTTATAATCCGTGAGGGCCTGCTTGAACTTGCCTAGGGACATGTAAGCGGCGGCCCTCCGATAGTAACCCTTAACGTAATTCCTATCTAACTCGATGGCCGCGGACGCGTCTGTCAATGCGTATCCGAAGCACTCCATCCTTAGGTAGGCGATGCTCCTGTTGCCAAAATACACGGCTACGAACGGATTTAACTGTATGGCTTTGGTATACAATTCGATAGCTTTATCGTATACTTGATCTAAAAAGAAAAGAAGAAAGAGGTGAGGAGACAAGCGAAATTCGCTTAGCGAATGCAGCGGGGGATCATCGTCCGCGTGTTCCCTCGGCACAATTAGTCCGGCGTTTATTCGCGAGATCACGCGACGCCGCTCACGGTTTTCCCTCGAGACGGCAGAAGCCGACGAACCACCCCCAGCTTCCCGAAGGATCGAGAAACGCCGAAGAGCGCCAAGAGACGTCAACACGCGCTCTCGCCGGCCGAGAAACGACTCTCCCTCGCTCGTACTCGACGGCGGCGACGGCGGCGGCGGCGGCGGCGGTTCGCTCGCGCGGTCCTCGTCGCGTGCCGCGGTGGCGAGAGTTGGGGGTTAACTCGGGGCACACGTGACCGCGCGTAAAGTCGAAGCGCGTCCCCACGTGCGCGCTTATATACGTACTCTTGAAGTACTCGTTCGCCTCCTCCTTGTACATTTCCGCGGTGCACGCGTCCTCCGGTGTCGCCGGCGTGAGCGCCGCGACATTCTCCCCGCCTTTGTCGCCCATCCTCGCCTCTCTGCGTTCGTACGTGCCGTGCGTGCGTGCGTGCTCGCGCGCGCTCACTGGTCGCCGAGCCTCGTAGCGGACGTAGCCCAGCGGCGACGACGAACCGACGGAAGGATCCAAGTCACTCGGAGCCACGCGGTCGCAACGTGCGTAAGGTGAGATCGCGCATCGAGGCACAGTCGATCGCGTTCCTCTCTCGGGTCCTCTCTCGTGAGAGCGAGCGCGCGCTGGCATGCGCCTACCTGGTATCCGCCAAACTCAACCACTACAGTCACACGCGTTGCACACACGCACCCACACCACACCGTGGTAAACGTTGTGAAGTGTGCTACGGTACGGCGACACTGGCGGCGGTCCGCCGCTACCTTCCGGCCGGCGCTTCGATTAATCGAACTGTTATCGATCGTTCCTCGCGCGCGGGTGATTAAATAACTTAAGATATAAAATATATCAATCGCGTATACAAGAAATGCAGCTTTCACGTCACTTAGGGCGATAATAAACATTGCCGTATGCAATAAACTCCGATATTGCAAGACAGATACCACGAAAGGTGGCGGCCATGAAATTAGAATTTCTTATTTGTACGAAAAACAGAAATTAAACATTCCCACGATGAAAAATATATATATCGGTCTCCTTCAGTATTACCGAATTTTCTACCAAATGTAAAAAGGAATCGTTCATATTTAATTTCTCGTAATCAATCTCGTATCAAATGTGTACTTACATTTCGTGTCATGATTGACCAAATCTCGTGACACGATTCACCAAACCGATCGTGGGATGATCTTGACTTCGTGGCACTTTGAATAACACTTCAGTATTAATCACACGCGATAGACACACGTCACTCACTGTATGTCGAACAAAGATAGAAGACGCTTTTTTTCATAATGATTTTTTTCCGATAATGTCAACTAGGAACAACCAATGAAAATCTGCGTCTTTTTCGAAGATCGTTCTCGCTTGGCTGTCGCCAGTTAACGATACCGAAAAGCATCGATTGCAAGTTACAGAATTCCCGTACAGGTGATCTCTCAGATGTCTTCGTTTCAGCTGTCCCGCGACACACTCACGAAAAAAGTCACTGTATCCAAATGTCACTCTTTGATTTTCACTGTCACCGAATCACTGAACAATGAAGAAGCAATTTCACGTTAGCTAGCGCTTTGATTCTTGGATGTATAGATCTATAATGTGTGAACTGCGCGAGATATCTGACTTGCCGGTTAATCGAGTATCGATGACAAGTCGCGATCGCGCGATGATGTCGGTCACTGATTATTCGCGATCGTGGTTTCTTCCCGTACTTTTGCGAACGCGCATCAAAAATGAATAATACGATATGCGGAACGGCGCGGGCGTAACCGACGTTCAATTGTCGCCGCGTGACTTGACACTGCGTACGGCGTGACTTTGTTTTGCCGAGCGCCGTAGACCGAGCCTGGATTCCAAGAAATGACGTAGCGCTATGGCCCGAGCGTTGTAAACAACTCGGTCGAAAGCCGAGCACGGATTCCAAGAAATGACGTAGCGCCGTGGAAAAACCCTCGGTCGAAAAACAATGTATCATTCGGCGCGAGTCAGTCGAGCGAGGCGGGTGTTTTGCGGGTGCCTTCGCGTCGCTCCCCGTAACGCGATCATTTCCTACGAGAATCTCGATCGTCTCGTACAAGAGCGCGTTTAAGTAATTGTTGCGATCCGTAATCATACCGTTGATTTCTACGTGATTCGTCGAGATGAATATCACGCGTAATTCGAAGAGAAAATGCGATAAGTGAAGAACATATATAAGTGCGCGTATAACATGAAGTGTTCCGTTTTCGTCGCGTTCGGGAGTGCCGTTTGAATAATCGAATCGAAGACTTTTCAAAGTCCATTTGAGGAACAAGTATTCGTAAAATGTCCGTTCCTGTCGATGGCCACACTTTCGAGAATTGACAGTTTTTGGGATATAATACTCGTCGACTCGAAGTGGAGGCGAACTTGACGGAACAGAATACCTTCAAACGGGCTTTATAAACGGGAGTGTAAAATCGCGCGAACGATCTTTGTGTTTTCGCGAGTGTGCCAAAGGACAATCTGATTGTGAGTGGAGGAGGAGGCTTTGGAGAGGCATCGGGCGCCAGCGGAGCAACTTTATGGTAAATGTTATTTTTTATTTTGTGTAAAAGTAATCTTTTTCAGTTTATTTTTGAGCCGTTTTCTCTCATAATACAATAATTTCGAAATAACAATTAGAGAACAAGAAAGCATTAAAAATTTTATAAGTTTATTCTCGTGAAGATCTTTTGCGAAGAATCTTTCGCGCGTTAATCGTTTAAACGTTTAATCGAATAAAGTTTGATACGCGTAAGATTTACTTATGCGATAACCATATTTTGCAAATATATTTTACAATATTAGTTTTCACATTGAACACTGCTTTAACGCATTCTATATTTGTGTTACAGATTCAACGTAGCCAACTCCGCTGCTGCGCCTCGGTCGGTGAGTGAGTAGTTTTTTTTATTCAGGTAATGAATCTCGTAGATCGTAGAATGTAGATCATAGATGGATATATTCTGGAGATTCGTTACCTAAAAATGGATGGATTACGACATAAAATTTCAAGTTTACTTTAATATATTTCATCGATCGAATGGGAGTGATCGCGATTGTCATTGTAGAGGGTTGAGTGCTCCGTTGCAGCACGTCATATATTTTCATGTAGAATATAACGAATATTATTGATGTATTCGTTGAGCTAATCTCTTGTAATCTATTCTATCCATTTTTCAGTAGCAAATTTATACATGTATGTAAAGTCAAAAACTATGACGTGAGATTCGAATATTTTGTCGAGACCGCTGAAACTTTATATTATTTTCATACGTTATTTGATTAACTAGAATGTTCAATTGTATCTACCTTTTCTCTGGGTCTCACGCTTTGAGTAAATATATAACTCAAAGGTCTCACGTCATTTATTCTGTACGTGTGTCTCACGATACACTTTCAAGATGCGTCTCG